TTTGACTGTTAATTTATGTGCTTGTCACTGAGTTCCTTCACAAATTGCCTCCTTCGTCGCCGCCCTCGTTCTCCGTCCGTCCTGTTTGCCATTCATCATGTCCGACAGAGCGCGACCATTTCCGGATAACAAATGGCAATATGCGGATCTTTTTCTCCCCAAGTTGGGAATACAAATCCATCCAAAATGAGGTATGTTCGAATGAACTCACTGTCGGTGGGAGAATTCCTATTTTCGAACACATTCGGTGGGGTTTGTCCTTGTGAATACCCTAAAAGTCCGAAACTGGTTGAGGTTGGATTGATGAAATGGGTATCATACAAATCCCAAGTGAAATCATTGAAAACATTGTGCAATTCCGATATTTATATTTCCCGTCGCGATATGTTGGGCGAGGGAATTGAATTCGCGAAAGTTAAACTTGAAGTATCTATTCCTTCTTTTGTCCTGAAGGCAAAAGAATTACGAGGAAGTACCATAAATTAAAATTCACAAAAACGACACGTTTATATTTTCGGCCACGTGGCTAAAACTTCCCCGCCCATACAATAATTCCATTTTTGCATTTTGCAAGGCGGCGGCGTCGGCGGCACCATGCTCGAGTACGACAACTCGGCGTTCTACTACTTTGGGATCTCCCTCGGGTCGATTTATGTGATTCCCATGACATACTTGAGCCTCAAGCGCATCATCTACGGCTTGTTCCTCAAGGACAAGGTCCTCGACTTGAACAACGTGCGGTGCGATCGGGAACTCGCCAAGGTGCGCAAGCTCCAAGCAGAGAAAACGTCGCTCAAGAATATTTTCAACCCTGTGTTTGTTGCCAACTTGATTATCCTCGTCGTCATGTGGTACGGGATGTATCAAATGATCATGCTGGTCAAGGACGATTCCGAGATCAAGTCGTTTGACCCGTACTCTGTGTTGGAACTCGCTGTCGGATCGACGGAAAAGGAAGTCAAGCGTGCGTACCGCCTCATGAGTCTCAAGTACCACCCGGACAAGAACATTGGCGATCCTGTCGCGGAACAGAAATTCGTCTTGGTCGCCAAGGCGTACCAGTCGTTGACTGACCCCGTTGCAAAGCGCAACTACGAACTGTACGGCAACCCCGACGGTCGCCAGTCCCTGCAGCTCAGTATTGGTCTCCCCACGTTCTTGCTGGACAAGGAAAACCACTTGGCGATCTTAACGATCTACTTAATTGTGCTCGTCGTTGCCATCCCGTCCGTCGTCGCCATGTGGTACTCCAAGTCGAAGCAATACGGTGACAGCATGATCATGTATGATTCGTACGGGTTTTTCAACTACGCATTGAGCGAACATGCACATTTGAAGATGATGCCCGAGATTTTGGCAGGCTCTGCGGAATTCCGCGATGTGCCGCTGCGCGAATCGGACCAGGCAGAACTCGGTGCGATCTACCGCGATTTGAAGCAGGACCAAACAATCGTCAAGGCTCGATTCAACCACCCCGTGATTGCCAAAGCCAACTTGCTCCTTCACGCGCATTTGACGCGCAAGCCCCTTAGCCCTGCCCTCCGTGCGGACCTGAACTTTATGTTGAAGAAGTCGATCCACCTCATTGACGGGATTGTCGAGATCTGTGTGTCGAAGGGATGGCTGCAGACGATCATCAACGCGATTGAGTTTGAACAACACATTTCCCAGGCGTTGTGGGTCAAGGACTCGTCGCTGCTGCAGCTACCACATTTTACCGAAGCTGATGTGAAGGCAGCGATTGTCGGAAAGAACGCAGTGCGGTCGCTGGCGCAGTTTATCGACTTGTCAGTGGAAGACCGTAAGGGTATGGCAAAGATGACGGACGATGAAAAGGCTGAAGTGAACCGTGTGTGCGACACGATTCTGCCCAACATTGACGTCGAGTTGTCGGTGGAAGTCGAAGATGAAGACGTGATTGCGGAAGGCGACATCTTGACGGTCACGGTCCGCATCACACGCAAGAACGTTCCGGAAGGCGACACGATCGACTTGGTGTACGCGCCAAGCTTTCCGTTCCCCAAGTCGGAGCGGTGGTTCGTTTTGGTCGGGGATGTCCGCATGAACCACCTGCACGCATTTGCCAAGGTGACGTCGCAGGAGCGTGTCGTGGAAGAGAAGCTCCGATTGCAGGCACCCCCCAAGGCCGGCACGTACCAGTTGGATGTGTGGATCAAGTCGGACTCGTACTTGGGTCTGGACCAGCGCAAGGCCGTCCGGTTCACGGTCGTCGCGGCGTCGGACCTCCCCGCGTTCCAGCCTCACCCTGAAGACGTCGAACTCGACAACGACCCGACGCTGTTTGAACAAGTCATGTCGTTGCAGCACGAAGACAGCGACAGCGACGACGACGATGAAGACAAAAAGTCCAAGTAGAGGGTTTTCTCGACCACGACACGTTTATATACTAGTTGGAAAAGTGACGATGCGTTTGTCTGATGTGCCCATGTCCTGTGCGTGGTCCTGTTGGAGAGATCTCGCCAGCATCCTGTCGCTCGCAGCGTCTGCCAGGCTTCACGCGCAGCGGCACGCGTGCTCGCTGGAACGGAGGCCGCGCCATGGCACACAGCGTCGTCATTCTCCACTCGAAATTTGCCGCGTCCTCGTTGCCACCATCATCTTTCTTCAGCTGAAACTTGAGCGACTGCAGCCAACGACAAGAGGTACGTGGCGGGAGTTCTCGTCTGAGTCCTAGTCGGTTGGACAAGCTGCGTCAACGAAAGTTGCGGTGCGCTGCCGCCGCCATGGACGCCTGCTGCATGCACGAACGATACTCGCCGTCCACGAGTCGCGCTCGTCCTTGTGAGCATGCAGACCCCATGGGCAAGGTGAAGGGGGGCATGGCTGACCATTTGCGAATACGAGCGGGATGAGCCCTTGGACGCCCAGATAGATGATTGCACGCGTCGGCGCGACCTGGCCGGAACACTGAACCAACTACTCGAATCTGGTTTTGCCCATTAGTTATCGAAGAAAATACCCCAACACGACGGCGTCGACTTCCATAAAGTCATGGATCGGCTCGACTTCGACATCCTTGGCCTCGTCGTCGTCCACGTCGAGGGGCCTGGTCGATATCACAACAGGGTCCATGTGGTCGGTGCTGGCTAGTAGCGACGTTTGCTGGATGAGCTCGCGGCCGTGTCGGGCGCAGTACCCTCCGGATCGGGCGCATCGCGTGCAGTCGTTCGCTTTGCATCTCCTTCCTCCGCCGTGGGCAACACACCTTTGATTCCGCTGCGCATGTTTGGAGCATCCCTCCTCGATACAGCTCTTGCGAAAGGCAGGGACACCGTGGCGGCTGCAATAGTTGCCGCGACGGGCATTCGCCCAACAGTCGGGCACTTGGCATCTCCGCTTTGCTCCGTGTCGTACGCACAGGTGGCGAGCGTACACTTGGTTGCCGCACATTGGGGCCCGGCATTTGCCCTTGTGCTTGTGAACTTCGCACTTGCCGTCAATGTGGTCGGGCAGCGCCAAGTTGGGGCATCCGTTGAAGCAGCACAAAGGCATCGTGGTTCCTGGTGGTGGCAGTGGTGTAGACATGGCGAGATAAAAAGTGTGGTGCAAGAATTCCCTTCTTGATCATGCGCAGCATGTGGATGCATCCATGAGGCGGCCTCCGCCCCGCCCGCGGCGGTTGTGACGCGCTCGTTTCCGTGGGTGTCTGTGTACGAAATGGTGGGATGCATCCGTTCGATGCCGGATAAAGTGCCGGATAACCAGGAAACACCACCTGCAACGTCGACATCCCTACAACGTCGACATCCCTACAACGTCGACGCCCCTTCGACAGGCGGCGTTGCACGACGCTCGGCTATCGGCATCTCGTGCTCCAGACAGTTGCGCCATGGACCATGGCCATGCGTGGACACGACCGCGTCGTGCGTTCTCTTGGCCGCGCAAAGCGAATCCAACTTGCGATCTGGGCCGTGAGAGGGACACCGGTGCTGCAACACTTGAGCGCGACTTCAAGATGCGCAAAGAGAAGCTTCTCAGAGACACCTGCGTAACACCGACGACCCGCCTCATTGCCGCGCTCGCTTGGTCCCGGTCGTCCTTGCTCATGGGGTGCGGGCGTTCGACCGACTGATGACGATGTTGGGCGAGGTATGCCGTAATGTCGATTCTGGAGGGACGTTAAATAGGTAAAACGTACTTCATCCAGGTGTTGACCAAGTTCAACATGATTAAACGTTCGGACAAGTACAACGTTTATATTATTCTACCCACGAATTTCACGCTGCATGACGCTCTTGGCGACGACACGTTCGCGCAGTAAGCACGACCCCAGACTCCACGACCGACATCTCTTCGTACAGTAGAGCTCGCACCTGCCATCGCACGTGCGCTGCCAAGCAAGAAGGACCAACGATTGCACGTGCGGCCAGCACTCTCGGTGGCGCCGCGCGGGCTCTCCCTGGGGTCCACAGGACGAAGACTCCACCGTACTGACCAAGCGTCGCGTTTACTGTACGTGCAGGCGCGCGCCCACTGTGTAGCTACGGCGCATGTGGCCGCACAAGTATCCGATTCAACATGTATACAACCCTCCCGGGATCGCGCTTGATTACGAAGGCGGCTTTGCGCTCAGATCGGCGCATAGTTGTTGCGCGTGCGAGCTTGGTAGGTGAAAACCGCGACGAGAGCGACCGCCGCCCCGGCCATCATGCTCAAGAAGACGACCACGGCCAAGTTGTGCTGGTCGGAAGAGCCCGCGAGCATCTGGGACGTCGCCGTGTGTGGCACAAATTGCGTTTGGAAGGTCGACGCGAGTTCGAGAATGTCGAGAGCCGAGTCGAACGAGAGCGTTTCGAACGCGTGGATGTCGAGGCCAGGCGAAGTTGCCGACGCGTTCGTGAGCGAACAGTGGGGGAATCCCTTGATGAGTTTCTGGACCTCGCCGTACGCGTCTTTGCATCGCGAGTTCTTGCGAGCGTTTTCGAGCTTGGCCACGGGAGGAATCTCGGTTAGCTTGGCCAAGTTTACACCCGTCGACGGAAGGCACATGAGGACGCTGAATTTGCTGACGAGAGTGAGCGCTGACTTTTGGATCGCGGCCAAGTCGCACGTGTTGGGCACAGTCGGGTACACAGCGACCTTGACGGCTGACACGACCATGCTCCACGTGACACTTTGCACGACGCTCAGTTCCAAGCACCCCTGTTGCGCCGACAAGGTCTGGACGTCCTTGAAGAGGGACTGGCAGTTGGTGGACGCAATGAACTTGTCGCCTTGCTCTGCGGACGGAATCACCTTGGCAGCAAGTTGGTCGGGGGTGATGTTGGCATCGCTGGCGCAAGTGGCGAAGAACGGGCTCGCTTGCGTCAAGTTGGCGACACCCAAGTAATTGGCCTCGACGCAGCGCGGCAACGGGGCGGCGGCAGAAGCGACGGACGCAATCGCGGCAACGAATGCGATGCACTTCATCGTGAGAATCGACAAATGCCACATTGTGTGACTTAGATTTGTGCGCCGTTGCATTGGATAGTAAACTCTTGTGATTGGTCAGAATTGTGGAGCCGTACGACGTGGGAGCCAATCAATTGATAGAAGTCGTTTGAACGAAGTGACTGTATCGAAGTGCAAGGTACGGTAGGCAGTACGTTTTAGGTACAAATGTATAATACGTCTAGGTTAAATCCAGAGCCCAGCACGGTAAAGCCAGATAAACCTATTTAACGTGCCCAGCAGTGTTTTGACCTTGTGATGAATTTCGTGTGAATTGTGTAGTTGATAGATAAAGATGGAATCCGCGAGGGTTGCGCTGCCATGCTGCGTCGATATCGATTCCAGGCCGTGCAGAATCATGAGATTCTCGGGCTCGTAGCTGTACATCTTGGGCCCTTGAGCTATCGTGGAATACGCTCCCCCCCTCGTGGAATTGAGCCCCCCACCGCAAATTTCGATCGCTTCTGTGTCCGAAGGCGGCGTCAGCCTTGCGACCGCATGAATCGGTCGCTCTGCTGCAGCGAAACAGGATGGTCGGGAACTCATCTGACCACTTTCCCTTGGGATCGATGCACCGTAGTGGGCATCCTGGCGTACAAGTGTTTCTTGGCGTAGGGGCCAAGTTTACAGCTGCCGCTTCAAACTACTTCAGATTATGAAGTAACCATTGTGTTCGTCCGCGCATCCGACTGACCCATCGAGAATGCCACGGACACGGTCACCCCGCTGACATCATCCCGATGCGGGCGCCAACACTAGGAGGTGGCTGCTGTTGCTGCCTCGATGTTGCTGTTTTTTGCAATGCAGGCGGCGCTACTGTAGCTGCAACACCTCGTCGCAGTCGGCGCCTGTCGTCCACACAGCACAACTGTGCTGAACTTGCTGGTTGAGGAGCTACATCTCCGCGTGATCGAATTTTGACTTGCTCCACGTCAATCGTAGTCCCCAGCAACGATGCCGTGGTGCTGTCCGGGAGGTGGCGGCGGTGGCTCCACTCACGCATTGACACGCGGGACGACCACTAGATCATTGCGCTCACCACGGTTGAGATCGCGAGCGGTTTTACCGGCCAGGATATTCCAGGCTCTCGCCGGCCCGTCCATGGTCATCTCGGACGCCGGAATTCCCAGTCCTCGAACATCATGCAGCATCGTCAAAGTCGCAGGATTTTTCGTGTTCCGACGGCAACCAGGATCGAGTGTGAGCCCCACGAATGTATTCCCGTCGACAAACGATAAACTATTACGACGCCAGGACACCCTTCACCGCCGTGAACCAGCCCTGCTTGGAACACAACAGAGCCTTGGCATTTTCGTCGCGTGAGTGACGAGAAAGCCCTCAAACATCTACTACATGTTGGCCACACGCAAGAATGCAGCGACTATGTCAGGACTGGCTGCTCGTTCCCGACCGCAAGATAGCATGCTGTCGTCCTGGTTTCGCCCGTAGGGCGGCAACTGCGGCACGGTCGTCTGCTTTTCTGGAAAGCGCATCTGACAACGCACACCGTCTCGTCATACGTGACGTTACGTGGCAGTTACACGATGGGAAATGTAACGGCGGCAAGTTGCATGGC